GTAAAAAGTGGTTCATACTGAAATAATAATTCTAGTATAAATCTTTACTGGCAGGGTTGGCATGCTTTAAATGAAATGTTCTAAACAAATGTTTATTATTTGTTTAAAACACAAACTGCTGTTTAATATACATTCGTTCTAAACAATTGTTTAAAACATGATTTTTTAATTATTTAAACAACTTTTTATCAGCATAGGTAAGGTATAATATAAAATTGCCTTTTAGTCTTAGTTAATAATATTAGCATCCTATTTATCTTTATATTTGCGATTCAGCGACTTTAAAATTGTTACTAATTTTCCAGATTTTTCTACTACTAAACGATTTCTTATTTTGGTGTGAACTAGTCCAAAAGCAGAAAAAAGCCGTTCAATACCAGCTGGCGATGCTATAGCCGTATGCAGTTGCAAGACTAAATTTAACATATCTTTATTTAAATCTTTAATAGATAACCACCATACAATTGGTTTTGTACGTTTTAGAAAATTTGAAAATAAATACTCTTTATAATGATAAGATTTTGCTTGGTAAGCCAAAATATCTGGCATTATCTCAGGGTAATAAATACTTGCATACTCCATTGCTAGTACATGTTCATTTTTCAACATATTTCCCACAAGTCTATAATCTAACATATTTGCAAGATGTACTGGTGTCATTGCCATTTCAAAACGTTTTTCAAAATATTTTTTATCAGACTCGTTTAGTGTCTTAAAATCTTTTTCTAAACCAAATATTTGTCGCTTCCCCGATTGTATATTGGTCAGAGTGCAACAGATATTATTTTCAACTTATCATGATAATCACTCGCATTGTTTTTTAAATGTATGTCATTTATTAAATTTAATACGTCTATGTCAATTAAAAGTTTATTTTCACTACATACTTTTGATAAAATAAGCTATTTTTGCAAATATCAGCAAGAGTGTTCCATCTTAACGTTTTGAGGCAAAACAAGTTGTTTACCCCCTGCTTGTTTGTATTTTGATGCAACCACCTGAGAATTTCTAAAATATTTTATAATTTTTTTGATGTAACCTTTAATATTGGGGATTTCTATGTCATGAGCGAGATGATGATATGTGCTGAGCAGCCATATGTTATGATATCAGGCATAACAAGTTCTTCACATGCTGTTAACTCTGTTCTCATTTTTTTTCCATATGAGAAAGCAGTACTTAGCGGGAGATTTATATTTCTGTAGATTTGGATTAAATAGAGCTAGAACTGATTTTATATAGTCAGCATAAAAACAAGGATTGAAAATTGTGGCATGATCAGTTATTAACAAATAAATGTTTCTCATTTCTAGCAAAAGATGACCTATTAATCTTAATTTAGATAATTTTAAGCATGTGTGGATGATGATATTTTTCTGTAAGTTTGTTACCATGTGTAATTGCCAGTTCATCGATGTGTAACATTATCATCACTAAGTCTAGGAAAAACCTTATTTTTCATTACAAAGTTTACTTTTTATGAACTTGACTATGGACTGCTTGTGATTTTACTTGTAATGATCTGTCTACCATTACTGCTTCTCTATGACATTTTAAGTAATGTCTTCTTATACAATTTTTGGAATAAAATGCCTTACATTTTTGGCAAACCGCAAAATATCCTGGAACTGTAGACAACCTGTGGTGTAAGCTGGACTACTTAGTGTTAATTAAAAAATCTCCATTTTTTCTTATAATGCAATTAAAAATTTCCTTTCAATTGAACCTACACAACTTGTACTAAAAGTCCTTTAAAAAAAAATCATGTAAACATATATGTATAGATGCGTCGTTTTCGATTTACAGAGTGTTCAAGTTTAAAATGAGAATTGATTTTTTATTCGTAAAACGAAAACCCCTTTTTAGACTTNGTGTAAACAACATAATTGAAAAAAAATGAATATGTCATAGTACAATCGTAAAAAGTGGTTCATACTGAAATAATAATTCTAGTATAAATCTTTACTGGCAGGGTTGGCATGCTTTAAATGAAATGTTCTAAACAAATGTTTATTATTTGTTTAAAACACAAACTGCTGTTTAATATACATTCGTTTTAAACAATTGTTTAAAACATGATTTTTTAATTATTTAAACAACATGAGATATTGAGGTACTTTATTCATCATATATAAAAACTAGACAAATGTAATAACTGTACAGACAAAAATATGGAACATAATATTTGCATATTACATTTTTTATCAGCATAGGTAAGGTATAATATAAAATTGCCTCTCAGTCTTAGTTAATAATATTAGCATCCTATTTATCTTTATATTTGCAATTGAGCGACTTTAAAATTGTTACTAATTTTCCAGATTTTTCTACTACTAAACGATTTCTTATTTTGGCGTGAACTAGTCCAAAAGCAGAAAAAAGTCGTTCAATACCAGCTGGCGATACTATAGCCGTATGCAGTTGCAAGACTAAATTTAACATATCTTTATTTAAATCTTTAATAGATAACCACCATACAATTGGTTATGTACGTTTTAGAAAATTTGAAAATAAATACTCTATAATGATAAGATTTTGCTTGGTAAGCCAAAATATCTGGCATTACCTCAGGGTAATAAATACTTGCATACTCCATTGCTAGTACATGTTCATTTTTCAACATATTTCCCACAAGTCTATAATCTAACATATTTGCAAGATGTACTGGTATCATTGCCATTTCAAAACGTTTTTCAAAATATTTTTTATCAGACTCGTTTAGTGTCTTAAAACCTTTTTCTAAACCAAATATTTGTCGCTTCCCCGATTGTATATTGGTCAGAGTGCAACAGATATTATTTTCAACTTATCATGATAATCACTCGCATTGTTTTTTAAATGTATGTCATTTATTAAATTTAATACGTCTATGTCAATTAAAAGTTTATTTTCACTACATACTTTTGATAAAATAAGCTATTTTTGCAAATATCAGCAAGAGTGTTCCATCTTAACGTTTTGAGGCAAAACAAGTTGTTTACCCCCTGCTTGTTTGTATTTTGATGCAACCACCTGAGAATTTCTAAAATATTTTATAATTTTTTTGATGTAACCTTTAATATTGGGGATTTCTATGTCATGAGCGAGATGATGATATGTGCTGAGCAGCCATATGTTATGATATCAGGCATAACAAGTTCTTCACATGCTGTTAACTCTGTTCTCATTTTTTTTCCATATGAGAAAGCAGTACTTAGCGGGAGATTTATATTTCTGTAGATTTGGATTAAATAGAGCTAGAACTGATTTTATATAGTCAGCATAAAAACAAGGATTGAAAATTGTGGCATGATCAGTTATTAACAAATAAATGTTTCTCATTTCTAGCAAAAGATGACCTATTAATCTTAATTTAGATAATTTTAAGCATGTGTGGATGATGATATTTTTCTGTAAGTTTGTTACCATGTGTAATTGCCAGTTCATCGATGTGTAACATTATCATCACTAAGTCTAGGAAAAACCTTATTTTTCATTACAAAGTTTACTTTTTATGAACTTGACTATGGACTGCTTGTGATTTTACTTGTAATGATCTGTCTACCATTACTGCTTCTCTATGACATTTTAAGTAATGTCTTCTTATACAATTTTTGGAATAAAATGCCTTACATTTTTGGCAAACCGCAAAATATCCTGGAACTGTAGACAACCTGTGGTGTAAGCTGGACTACTTAGTGTTAATTAAAAAATCTCCATTTTTTCTTATAATGCAATTAAAAATTTCCTTTCAATTGAACCTACACAACTTGTACTAAAAGTCCTTTAAAAAAAAATCATGTAAACATATATGTATAGATGCGTCGTTTTCGATTTACAGAGTGTTCAAGTTTAAAATGAGAATTGATTTTTTATTCGTAAAACGAAAACCCCTTTTTAGACTTTGTTGAAACTTGGCAACTTTGTTTGTACTAATAATACTCATTTTCTCACATAATTTAATTTGCCCTATTTTCTCCAGTGGCGTCACAACAAGATACCAGCTTGATAAAAATAGAAAAAAATATGGTACGCCACTGTAGTCAATTTCTATTGAATCTATTCTTTGTTGAAAAGGAACATCGTCTAGCATGTTATCATGCTGGGTAGTTAAAAATTCAAGAAATAATTGACCGCCTAATCTATTGGGCAGGATGTAAGGTCCAAACAAAAAATCGCTATACTTACCTACTATTAAAACCGAAAACCGTCAATCGAAAAAAATTAAATAAAGATCGTCAGCAAACGTCAAACCATTGCTACAATACCTTGGCAACTCAAAAACAGAAATATTCACGGCACACTGTAACAACTAAATAAATTAAGCAAATCTAGAACCTATTCATGAAAATGTTTTATTTCTGACTAAACAAAGCGAGACAAGAAAAAAATTAAATAACAAAAAAAGTTGTATTTTTGATAGCTAAATCTGAGAAAAATTTCAAACTTACCAAAAAGCAGTGGCGTACCATATTTTTTTCTTATTTTTATCAAACTGGTATCATTTGATAAGTTTCATGTGGTTAATACAGGATATGGAAAATTTAAAGTTTTCTTTTCTACTTTCGTACGAATTTCTGTATTAATAATAATGTTTTTTAAATCCATGTACAGACGACTTCTATCCAGTAATTTGACTATACTGAATTTTCTTATCTTGTTCTTGCAATATCCACTGAATAAAGGCTAAAAAATAACAATATTTACTTAAAATAATTATATTAAGTATTTACATATCAACTGAATGTATTAGATAATTTTTTAAGAATATATTTTTTATTATCACCTTTCATATTTTTTATTTATTTCAAAAATATTTACCTAATTTAAATAAATTTAAAAATTGTCTCAAAAATCTTTAATATACCCAGACTTTTGCTAACATTTATATTTTTGAATTAGTGTAAATGCCTTTGTAGCAAATCACCTAATGCCGGCTCTGTCGCCCGTGTTAGCCTGCGCAAACTTCCGCTGTGAAGCCGGCGGCGAGTGGAAAGCAGTCAGCACTTATGTATCGCGAGTCAGCACTGTCAGCAGTCGCTTCGCTACTCGCCAGTCGGTGCGTAAGCTGATAAGGTTATGTTCGCGTGGCCTCCGTTCTACTAACATTAGTTCGCTGTCTAAATTGTGTTGTAACTTACTCAAGTTTAGTAATAAATAAGTAATAGAGTCAACCTACTTTGTAGCACCCCGACCGACCTTTAAAATAAAGTAAGTATCAGATATTTATTGAAATACTTTTTGTATATTGATGTAGTTTGTGCAGGGAGGCACATAAGTAAAAACAACGTAGTTGGGGAAAAGCTATTTATTCTACTTAACTGGACCTCTAGACACATAGAGAATAACAATGCTAATGGCCTCAGTCGATATCTGATGCCTTGCTAATTCTACATTTTCTTATATTAACTTTATAGAACAACGACGGTTATTGTAAATATGCAAGGTGATATCATGCACCGGCAAAGAACATGGTCCAGTGTCGGACTGCATTGATAACACAACTAATTGACAATGTCATCAAGGCACGTAAATTTTATGTTGAAAATGTATTCTGTCAATTTATTTAGGCTCCTTATTGTGCACTATTCTCTGTGTTTATTATGATTATATTTAGTTGAATAAAGTTTGTCACATTCAAAAAAGGGTCTAACGAAAGACAAACTCATTCAAAGCATAGAGTTCAAATTATCTTTTTTAAACTGTATGAGCAAATGGGCAAAAACAAAACTTGCCTCAAATCTGTGCATAAAACGCATAATAAATTTTATAGGTTAGGGGTGTTAGAACTTCTTTTGTGGTTAGGACTTTAAATACCTATGATAGATTAATTATCTTTCATCTATGATTGGGACAGGCGAACATCCGAGTGCCGACGTTTGTCTAAATGTCACTCGGCGTACTACTAGTTTTATTCCATCAAATACTAATCTTTGTCTGGAAATTTAAATATATTGAAATAAATATAACCGATTATGATACGTGTTTAATTATTTACGTATATATACAAGTTAGACATTCCTTTTTAAATACTAATTTACCATACTTTTTTATATTTATTGTTTATATTACTTTTCTACTTTTGAAAATAAATACATTATTAAATATACCTGGATATTCTTGATAATTTTTACTTCAAATGCATTTATTTATATGTACTTTGAAGAGGTACATCAAATATTGATAGTTTAAATATTGTATAGAATATTGAAATGCTCAGACGGAAGCATCTCTCTGACTTTGGAGAAACTAAATGAAGATACTTTTTGTATCTTAAGGAATGTAATATGGGTTTCTAAGAAATACAAATATAATAATACTTTATTAGCCCACTTAAAATACATTAATAACTACAAATAAAAATATAAAATTACAATGAGTATAATATACAATAGTGACTAGTGACTATCTAAAATGATTGTTCACTTTTTGCATGAATAATTGTGATCAAATTATGAATGAATATTAATGACCTTATTGCTCCCTTTCTGAAATCTTTCACTTATAATGCCACGTTCTTCTTTAGAAATAGAAACACTTGTTTTATTTTTTAAACATTTCATAGAAAATAATCTCGAACGTGGTTTAATATTTCCGGCCGTATTCATATCTGCACTAGGAATAAAAGACGATGATTCTTGAAATTCGTTTGTTTTTCTCCTCGGTAAAATTTGCTGCGTTTCCACTTAATTCTGCTAAAATATTAAATTTTAGTTGAAACTGCTCAACTATTGCATCATTTTGACCCGATACAGATAATTCAAACTTTGACATGTCAGGTGTAGGCAGTTTTACAAATTAAGTTTCCACATTGACTTCTCGACTACTTTCAGCAACAAATTCAAATTTTTTCCACAATATGCACATTGAAGTTTAAGTTTATGAGACTGACCTTCTACAGACATTTTAATATCACGGACACTCCTTTGTTTTTCCAATTTGTAATCAGTGAAATTAGTCTTTTTACAAATATAACACTAAAAAAACAAAAACAGATCGACTTAGGTATCCTTTAAAAAATGCTTACCTTTTTATTTACCATAATTTTCTTCTTCGGTGGTTCATTATGGACAGTTTTTAAATGTTTTACTAGATTATACCTTGTTGAAAAGTTTTTCTGACATCTAATACACTACAAAATAATAAAATTTAAGTTGCCGCACTTTTTATATGTGGTTATATTAATAAAATAATAGTTTATCACACATAACTAATAACTACTTCATTTAAAGCTAACGTACTTACACTTGTTTTTTGTGAAGGAGAATCCATATTTAACTTTTCACTTTTAATTTATAGCGTAAAAAATAGAACGTAAAAGCAAGTTCTCACGTTTTCAACTTTTCAGGTTATGAACACAAATTTGGCGGAATAAAACGTCTACGCTTATGCTATGACGTTTCTCAGGTCGGGCAAATCAAGTCCGTTTACACCCACTAAAAAAGCATTTCCCTATTCCCTACCAAGTGCAAAAGACAGAGATAAAATATAGATCGACGTTCAGTGTAACTCGGTCTATACACGATTATAGATTCTACCGATGTGCATGGCGAGCGGCACAAAGATAAATAATATTGAACCGTATAGAAATCATTTTATATTTTATACGCATTATGGTAATAGTGTTTTTCTATTATGTATTAGTCACTCTTTATAATTTCGGCCGCCGAGTATAGTGGTATGCCGAGTGACATTTAGACAAACGTGATTTGATGCATGCGTAGAATTTGGAATATTTTTTACGAAATGATAAATTTTATTGTAAATTGCTTATTCCTTATTAAAAGAGATCACCCGTTAAACAATTTTTAATATAAAATTACATTTTAAAGATATAATGCGACATAAGTGCCTAACGTTATCTTCGGTAATATTTCATTTAAAAACAATTTGTTTAAAAAATTTTCCATTTGCATCCACAGTACTTATTTCTCTCATTTTCTCCAACTCTCCAAACTGAAAAAAAAAAACAAACAAATTTTCATAAATCACAAAAATAATTAAATTTAAATGATTTCACATTTCAATTACATTAACTGTTGAAAAATAAAATGTTACATAATTAACAAAAATTGTCAAATTTACAAAGTTGAATAATCTTTACTTTGTATTTTACAGTACGGAGCAAATACTTGTGTGGGAATGATTTGCAGATAGATGCACAGATATGCCACCACAAACTAATAGTAGATGAGTTTCGACAGGGATTAGCCTACCTGAATTACTGTATTTACTGTTCATCCGAATTGATTCGTACAGACGTCTGCTCCATAATGTAAGTAATTTATTATCTCATAGTAAGACAATTTCAGGCAAATGAGTCGCTTAGTTTCATATTCCTCTACATCCATTTTACATAGTTTGGAGTCAAAGTGAAAAATCTACTGCATAAGAACTGGAAGAATTTTAACAATCTAGTTTAAAAATTCATTAGTTTAATACTTGATAATAAAAGTTGTCTGAAAATCACAAATCGACAACGATATTTGAAAAACTAAGCAAAATTTTATTGAATTAATTAAATTTTGAATTAAGGATTGGATTCAGTGGATTTTGAAACTACACATATAATTATAACTTAATTTAGAAGTAAGAAGAAAAGTCCAATTTCTCACAATCCTTTTTTTTTTGTAAAACAATAGACTACCGGTTTCGAAGTCAAATTTTTCACCTCGTCCTTAGGTCCTGCAAATTATGTTTAATTTTACATTTTGTAAAGTCAAATTATGTAAAATTTTTAACTTATACAATATTTATTAATTTTTACAAATTTATAAACTATTTGATTTTGAAATTATTTCTTTACTTTTTTAAAAAACTGTTAAACATTAAATATAATTAACATGCGGCTATTTTTATTTTTTAACGTGCCAAAGAAAGCTTTGCTTTTAAGGTTGTGGACTTTTAATTTGGTTTTTAACTCATCTTTTTGTCTTCATTTTCCATTCTCTTAATTTTTTCTTTCAACTCCAAGCAAGTTGAACATACATCAACCTGTGATGCGTTGAAACCAATATTAAATTTTGTATTAAAAACATGACGAAAATATGAATTTTTAAGAATGACTTTCACTGCTACATTTTCTTTATGCTCAAGTTACCCGAATACAATACGTTCAGATTTTCCTCGGTAATAGTGTTTTTCTAAAACTGCGATTTTAATTTGACATTTCAATTTTATGAAAAAGTCGGGAAAGTACAACCTCAACTCTGAACCGCTTTATATTTAAAAAGCCTAAAAATGCATTTTCCCAGATTGGTACCATTTTCTTATCTTTTGACAACATATGATGCAGCCATTTTTATGGGCCTTCCTGAAATTGGATTTCTAATACGACTGATCGTACTTACAGAACAATGTTTCAGAATAATGTGGTTTTGTGAAATTAATTTAATTTATTTGTTATGAAAACTTTTTATATCTCATTTATGACTGCATACCTACATGTGCTAATAAATTTTAACGAAGAAACAATTATTTCCATACCAACCTCTCCTTTTTTTCCTGAATCCTTTTCCATTTTTTGGTGCTGCGGGTCCGCTTTCCTCAGTTTTCAGGTTATGTTTCTAAAATCGTCATTTGAATTGTTATTAACAAGACAAAACCCAACACACCGCACAGAAAAATTTAAATTAATTCTAAAATTCGGTTATAACAGTTGTTAGGGTAGAAACAGATAATAAACTGGTAACAGCTAGATTTAAAGTCGACTATCTGGAGTTAGGTTAGGTTGAGATTGGGTTGTGTTAAGTTAGGTTAGGTCGAATTAGCTTAAAGAAATAAATAATCTGTAAAGAAATAAATAAATACTCGCAAACAAATAAATATTTAAAAAAGTATATAAATAAATAGAAGAAAAAGCACTAATAAAGACAAATAAAATTAAACTTATAGGACATTACTTAATAATAATTAAATGAAATATACAGCAAATATATTATAATAGGAATAGCCTCATTGGAGCTGTCTGACGACTGACCAGAAGTAGGTTAAACAAGTGCCATACACTTGAAAAAATTATGGATCCTCCCTATGATTAGGATATTTCAAACGAAACAGACATTCCGCCAAATAGCTGTCAATATGATTTCCCCGACGACCAAATCAAGGAATGTCACTTCTCACATTCCTCCACAACCTTTCAATATTCTGGGTATAGGCACCAGAATCCGGATCGACAAAATTTTTAATTAATAAATTTTTACGTATTCCGACTTTACTTCGTCAGAAAAATATTTTAAATGCAATTATACAGGGTGTCCAGAAAATGCATAATGCTCAACAGTATTTCTATGTTGGTGACAACCCCCGTGCCAAAAATAGTCCAAGCATTATAGAGAAGTGCTTACAGAAGTTATTACCTGGAAATAATAAATACCTTCTAAATTGAGTTTCTCCTTTAAACTAAACAACTATAGCTCCTATCGAAAAATATTAGAGAGTTGTAGGTTTTAAAAAGATCGTATTGACTGATTTATTTATCGATTGCTTTGTTACTTTTCGAGGTATGGGTCATTCTACATTAAGAGGTTTTGAGTCCATAGAGGATGCGGACAAGGGAATAAGTTGTAGTTTTATGATTAAACATATATATTATGATTTTAGTCCCTTTTATGTACATTCACGTCAAGGCAAGTCACTTGATACATATTTAGTTAGTTTTTAGAAGGGCAGGGTAAATACATCGGGCAGGGTAGAGACGTCAAGATCAGGGTAAATATTTTTTTGACCAGGGGAGAGACTTTGACATAATAAAACAATGAATAAAATCAACTTCTATTAAACATTGTACTTAACTTATAATCATAGTATCATTTTTTGTATTACAGCCTTTCTTTAAATCTAAAGCTAGAGCTTCTTTAGTGTCTGTGACAAAAAATATCAGTAAATTAACATGACATCGTACCATTAACAAATAATTAAGTATTCTTTTATCGATACTAATTAAGTAATTCCAAGTAAAGCGTATTAGATTTGGATAAAATTCTGTTAAATGAGTGACAAGACGGTAAAACATGTATTTATTGCTATTTCACTTTGGGTGGAACCTGTTCAAAATTGGCTGTAAGTGAGCCCCATATAGCTGGAGGTGAATGTAACAAATTTTGTGACAGAACAATAGCATGTGTTTTTTTTTCACCTGATGCCTCTTCTTTTGTGTAAGTTACCACCGTGTGCAGACTTATCTGTTGGCAGGCAAGTGTCACGTTTGTCGCAATTTGGTTACACTATCTAAAATGGCTTTAGGCGACAGACGAAAGAATATGAGATCGTGATATTGCACTTCATGAAAGATTTGTGGAGATTGTTTAAAGTATCCAAAAGAACTCTCTTTTGTTTGCAGTTTCCTTTCTCGTCACATAGTCTCTTCTACCGGCACATAACCTCGTATTAGAATCATCTACAAGAAAATTTGTAATTTTCTTCTTCATTATGTCATAGCTTTCTTTGACTTTTCGCATAGTTTCTAGCAATCGTACTTTTCCAAATTTTCTCAAAGGTTTCATATTTTTTTCGTTTTGTAGTGTGCCATATTTATTTACCAATTTCCCACTTATAAGTCTTTGAAAAATTCGTTTTTTCTTTTTCATTTGGAAGAGCAGAATAATGTTCTTTCTATTGTTGATTGAGCACTTCTGCAAACAGCAATTTTTTCTTTATGGGATCTCTGGCACTTGGAGAATTCATCACTTGTTCTACTTTACTGTTAGGTGTAAGATTTTCAGGCTTTTGTAATCTTTGTAATATTTTTTTGTAACACGCTAATTTAGTCTATATTATTTATTGGTGATAAAGTCTACTATAATCAAATGGGTTACGTAAGTGGAGAAGTGAAAGAAGATGAAACAATTGAAAGTATGGCAAATGATTTCACGTCCCTTGCTTCTATACATTTTGAACTTCATTCATTTAGTGGGCTACATTTTATGTTAAAAAAAGTGATTTACAATTATTTATGCCTGCATCAAGATTATCAGCTTGATGCAGCAATTATTTCTGCATATTGTATATGCCCAATGATCATTTCTGCTGTTCTGTTCAGCAATTTGGGATATTTCTTTATAACCAATTTACATTGTTCTTTAGTTGGATATAGTCTCTTTTCCACATATGCTCCAAATTCTTTCCTGCAAATTACTTTTTCTGGAAAGATAATTTTTATTTACTGCTAATTTATATAATATAACAATAATAATAATAAACCTAGTTTATTAAATTTGCCTCAATAAACAATTGCAGTTATTTAAAATTAGACTAATCACTTATATATATTTACTGTCCGCGTGAATTTGAATTGATATGAATGCTTTAACCTGCTTTGGAGTACGATTATAAAGCGCCTTACAAATCTCAGTAGCATGTTTACATGTGTCTGCCGTAGGCGTCTACCCTCTGATAACTCGCCTTAAAAAAACTTTTAGCAGCCTCTCTTTCTTCAGTGCCCCGTATGAAAATAAATTTGATTAACAAACACCAGATTATTTTAATGAAAATTACATCAATGATGGTTCCAATTTTAATCAGGAAATGGGTGATAGAAAAACTGATTTTGTAAAATACGCTTTTATTTTTCGAGATACATAGCGCCAACATTTCCAAAAAAATTACATATTTTTGTTTCTGTGGTAATATTAACCTCCTGAAGCAATCATTGTCCCGAGGTGTGGGTAACTGATACCATTCACGAAACTTTTAGTGGTTTCATGAAAAAATCAACTGAAATGTTTAGCAACGGAAACTGTTAATTCCCAAAACTCAATTTGTAAAATATATGACACATGAAGTTTTCTTATTAAAATTAGTTTTTCGATCATCTGTTAAATTTTTCCCATTAAAATCGGACCACCCTACATATAACAAATGAATAACTATTAAGTCTACTTCTTTTTCGTGGTGCAGTTATTTCCAATTCACTTTCACTGCTATCAGTATCCCCTGCTGATATTCTATATTCTGGATCGTAATCAGTACAAGATGTATCTTCTTCTGGTAAATTACTAGGGTTGTCCGTAAAATAAGGTCCTCAATTTTTCCTCTTTATTTCAGCGCCTTGGAGACCTTGCTTTACGTACTAAAATGACAGAGAATTGAATTCGATGATTGAGGAGAATCGGTAAAAATTAACTTTCTAGGGTTTGGAGCTTTATCTAAATTGGAAGTAATTTCAGAGTTCCATGAATCTGCATTATTCTCTTGTTGAAAAACAACTGTTTCAAGATTACCATTTGTAGCAATATAAGTTAATCTTAACGAAGTCAACGCATTATTTTTGGAATTTCCTACCTCAATTTAAAATTTTGAGCATCATGAGAATGTCCTTGTTAACATCAGGTTACCTACCTGTAGATACTTTTATGAATTTTTTCAGAATGGATTTTCTGGATGCAAAGTATTATAGCCAAATTGCAAACAAGCGATCCGGATGATTACTTGGGTTCTATTGTTATGCCGGCCCCTTAAATCCTTTGGTGATTTTGCTGTGAGAAGTAGGGTGTTTAAACGTTGAACTTGCTAACGCGTTATGGCATGAAGGCTTATAAATGCCTGTACAGGAATTCGATTTGATTGTTTCATAACAGTACATGAATTTTGACTTTCTTTGTTGTTTAGGTCCTTAGACGATGTCTCTGAATGGGTTTTACTTCCATCAACCCCTGCTTTGTTCATTTTTTGGCTTACCGTCATATAGTTTTGACATGATTTCTGTGATTTTTTCCTCACTAAACTGATTCATGCATTTTTGTGTACACCTTAGCAATATTATACTTTAGTGAAACATTTTATAAAAAGAATGGGAACTTACTTGCATGCCTCAACAAGTTTCCCCGTTTTAGAATCATGTGCCTGTCCTTGCAATCGTGCTATTCTTCTTTGGTTATGTTTCCAACTATCAATATTTTTTCTTCACTATCACTGGATGACATAATTTTTTGAAACGTGTTTGAAAAATAACGAATGTAGGTTTTTTGTTTGTAATATATACACACGAAGTAAACTCTGCGCTTGTAAACAAACTACTGCCGATATTTTGTGGTTGCGATGACGATCCGTACAAGTCATGGACATGGACGGTTCCCACCTCATTGGTTAGTAGCGATCTGCTAAATACCGTTAACGGTTAAGTATCTTATATAGTTTTCATGTTCACTCGGTGAAGGAACTTATTTTATACCACATAGCTATCTTCATGTAAAATGTCCAATTTTGGACTTGTATGGTTTCTAAACTCACTGATTCAAATACGATATATTTTACACCATTGCAAAATGAGATTGGCAATTGATTGTAAATAATAACAGTTCGGATTATCTTCTCTCGAATAATGACTGTTATATTTAGGAAACATCTTAATATGGGTAATAATAGTTTTTCTTTTGGATGGCTCCATTTTGTTTAGAGGCCCTTTCTTTCCCCACTTATCAGTTTCAACAATTCCCAAATCTGTTGTTTTTGAACCAGCCACGTGAAATCTACGCACAGTGGCATCAAAAGTGCGCAGAAAAAGTTTTTTGCATACACGCTTTCCCAACAAAGTTATTACTCTGATATAACGTTTTTCTTTGGTGGCGTCTGTTTTGCATCTTTTGGGTTGAACTTTTGTAACACAAGAAGACAAAGATGAAGTTTGAAGGTCATAAGTTGGTATTTCATAAAATTTTACAACTGGCGTCTTTTTCACTAATATTTTTTTTACAATGAAATCGACACTCATGATTATATTCCTTTAGTTCTTTGCCCTTTTGCGGCTTATTCTTATGGCCTATATATTCTTTATCTTCAACGCGCAATTTCTTGGCAACGTTGTCTTTCCAGGACTGCGGAAGCCGTTTTCATATTCTTGTTTTTGAAGGTGTAACATGTAAAAATGCATTTTCATTTGAGTCGTTATCTTGTCCACTTTTTCAACGTATATATATATATTCATTAATAACTTCCTGAGAAACATTACTTGGACAGGCTTTTACCACGAAATTGTTCGCCTTTTCCTTTTTCCAGTAGCATTAAAATTTTTGCAACTTTTGATGTTTGGTATATATCTTGAGATAACCACAAAAAATGTGATTGGAAATACTTAAATTAAGAATTATTGCCGGTTTCCAAAAGAGCTCATATTTCGGAATTTAATACCTGTAAAATTCCATTTGGGTCTTTTTAGTATGACCTATGAAAGTTTCTATTTGCTCTACTTCATCGTCTTTCATAGACATTAACTGAAGTGTTGTCGCAATATGTTTTCTGAATTTTGTGGATGTTCAGCACCAGAACTTCTAGCTAATTTTTGTATCACGTTATTCCCTGATATCCAGTGGTTTTCCGAATTTGGATTGGCAAATAGAAAATGATTACTTTTGGGAACTATATCCCTTTCTTCTCTTACTTTTAATAGGCAAGCAATATAAATTTGAGTTTCTTTAGAAAATAGTATAGGCACAAGCTTTGAACCCTTACCACCGGTTACTACACGTTTGAAGATTTTACACAAAATTTTTTCTAACTCAGACACTGCACACATGAATGTTGATTGACTGTGCTGCAATCTTTTCTAATATATACTATCTCTGCCCCAACTTACTCTATTGCAATATAGTTCAGCTAACAATGTGTAAGTAATTTATAATTAGAGGTTAAAATGACATGAGCAATGCCATTAAACAAAGAATAGAAGGAGATTGTGGGAGATCATAACAAATATTTAGGTTGCTCTGTAAAAAATGCACTAAAGCTGCTTTGCTTCTAACTCCTTGAAATGTATAACTTCATTAACAAATTTAAAAATCAGCATTTATTGTTCAAATAAATGTGTTTCTTCAACATGAAATCAATCACTTAAGCTGTAAGCTAACCTTTACGTAATTAGACATTTCTGGTTGTAGATCGTTCTGAGAAAGAAATTCCTAGGGGCACAATGATTGAACAAGACCATCCCGAATTACTAGAGGCATCGATGAATGTCCAGCCTGAACAGAGGGATGCCCAACCAAAACCAAAAAATAAGACCGGACAAAAGTCGGACAATACATTCCAATGTGCAAACTGCAGTTATTCAGCCAAATACAAATCTGCTTTGGTGAGCCACATGATGAGCCACAGAGCGTCCTCGGAGACGACAATGTACAAGTGCGACGTTTGCCAGCACGAGACCAAAAGAAAAGCCGATCTCAGGGCCCACATGATAATCCACATGGATCCGGCAGACGTGAAGATCTTCTACTGCGCCAACTGCTCCTACTGGACGAGAAGGAAGTGCGATCTCAAACAGCACGTCATCGTTCACCAGGACTCTTCATACAAGTGCCCTCTCTGTCCCTTCACGACGAACAACAAGCTATATCTCGACAAAACGCATTCCTTGCATCACAAGGACGACTCTGAGGTTACAGTATATAAATGCGAACATTGCCTGTACGAAACGAAATTCAAGCATTTGTTCAAGAGGCACGTGACCACCCACCAGGACCCGTCCACGCGACCGGAGTACCAGTGCAACTGGTGCGATTTTACCACTAAGAGCAAGATAGGCTTAAAGAATCATATGCTGTTGGTGCACACGTGCCCGTCGGAGATCGAGATGTATCGGTGCGATATGTGCGAATACCAATCGAAAACGAAAACGGGGGTGAGGAATCATATACGGAATAAACACATGCCGGCCGAGATAAAGTATATGTGCCCTCACTGTCCGTTCAGGACTAAGAACAGGAAATATTTAAAAAAGCACGTGATGCTGCATCAGGATCCTTCGAAAGTTACGATGTACCATTGCGATAGTTGCGATTATAAATCGATCCGCAAGGGAAATGTTAAGTCGCACATGTTCACTCACGTAAAGAAAAAAGATATCGAGCAGAGAGTAATCTATAAAAAACCATAGAGCGAAGGCGGTGGGCCAGTGTGATCTTGTAGAAGCAGAAATTGTTTTTATTTTTGGACTACAGCAAGAAAGCATCAGTGATAGTGTATTTTAAACATGTTTATTTTATTATGGATGGGAGCAGGACTTTAATAAACTTAATAGTAGGGGAACTCACTGTTGGCATCCATTTTTGGTGGCCTTGAAATGACTGCCATGTCCTCTAAGAACATTGACACTTTCTGAGTGATGAGGTGGCATTATTATCACACGTAAGTAATTTTTTGTTCACTAACTTGGGGTGGTTATAAAATATATAAATATAAATATAAATATAAATATAAATGATATATATAATAATATAAAATATAAAAAAAATATATAAAATACCTACATAAAAAATAAAAAAAAAATTACATTCTAAAGACAAAGAACACGGAAACAAGTTTAAAAAATTCTTTGTTGAGAAAGAGCAGTTTGCGTTTTTAAAACCAAAATTTCTTTTATTTTTAAAAGTTCGCAGAAAAATCGATTAAAATAAAGCAGAAATATACAATAATCTCAAAGTTACTTAGGTACTTACATATTACATCTGAACAATAACCGAATAAACGATGAACTCAACCATGTTTATAAGCGTCGGCACAACAAAAAAAACTGCAAGTGTTGCAAAGTCATTTCATAGACGACTGTACGTTTCGATACGTACAGTAATTACCCTATTTTTACGATATTTTTTTATAAGAATTACAAGAGGTTTAGAGACCGTACTAAAGCATTCCAACGTTATTACAAATTATTTATAACCTTTAGTTCTATTTCTTACCAAAAGTTTGAGTGGAATAATAATAAAAATAAAACTAAACAAACAGCAAAGCGCTGTAAGTATTCTGTCGGTTCACAAAAAATGCAACGGGGCAGTGCGCTCCCACTGCCAACCAATTACGAGAGTCCGAGTCACAGCCTCGATGATATATGTCATGTCCCACCCCTTTCACCCGAAGTTGATAGAGGAGATGCGTGTAATTCACTTAGTCTATGCGAAAGAATTACCTGGCCAGACCTGTATGTATGTATTTATGCAAGCAGTGTGTATAGTAAATTTTTTTCATTAATGGTAAAGTTTCGTTTCGCATTAGTGAAAACACATGTTCCGTACAATATCTTTTCTACTACCGAAAAAATGTGTGTTATAAATTAAAATATATCCACCTAGTTTAATTACTAGCATAAATTAATTACATCTTATACAGGGTGGGTGAAAAGTAACTCCTCATTGTAATATGCCGATAAATCTCTTAATATTTAGTTTATTTGACTTGAACAAGTTACTGTTTAGTTTAACATGGGAGAAACCCTATGAGGTTGAAGATGTAACTTTGTTAAGAGCGATTCTTTTAATAATGTTCGCGAACTCCCAGTATCAGTTTCGAGTCAAGTTTATGTCTGTTATACGATATAAATCCGATCCGATCCGATGATAAATCCTGAAACATAGACAACAGATAATGACTGAATACTGCCAACAACCACATTGCTGCCCAACATTTTGCGCAATGCGATTATTCAAGAATTAATTAGATTCATGCACAGTGGGATACAGGTCAGATACAGGGCCCACTTCAGTCTCCGCAGTATCGGCTACTAAAAAGGATCGTAAATTGCTTATAAAGTTAAATGATCTTCGCAATTGCTGACCCTTAAATTCTGATTAGTCAGACCATTGATAACTTGCGTTTTAAAGATGCAATGAACTGATTCACTGTGGGATTCTCATTGCACCCATAACCTGATCTAATCGCCCCAAATAAATTTCCAAAACCATCTTGATTTAAAGCTCTTGGACGAAATGTTGTGAAACCTTTCGACTTCAAATGTCTCCGTAAATGTTGAAACGCACTTAACGTTTGTAGCCAGCCAGTTTGTAACGGTGGCTTCCAGCAAACTACGCAATTAAAATTTTGAGGTTTTCTAATGTACCTATCTCCACTGACTAACTCTTTTAGAAGCTTCCTCCCGTAAAGACACATGATCCGATTGTTTTGTTACCATACATTTAAATGGTTTTCCATCTGGCCCTTTTTAGAACTTCCATTGCAGCTGTCAAATAATTGGTCGACGTCGTGGTAAATGTAGCTGTAGCCAATGCCCAAGGGATGGTTGAATGATATAAAATTTAAAAACTGAAATATTTACCTACACTAATCATTAATATTACAACAGTACAAGAGAGTCTTAAAATTTCCCAAATATTGAATACATAAAACAGTTATTGACTTACTAAAGTGTATAGCAGAGAACCTTTCTAATATTTTTATTTTTGTTGTCTTGCCATGAATAAAATAAGGAAATCTTAGCAAATTATTTACTACTCTCTACTATCACAAAATTTTGTTTATGTTTTAAATACATTGTAAATTGTACTATTACTATTATTAGAAGCGAAAAAATAAAGGTAATAAGATAACGTCAAATCTTACCATGTCTTATAAGACTGTAGATAAACACAAATACTGAACGGCTCAGTGTTTGTGCTGCAACCTTTACTTTCATAGCCTTAATGGTGCCAGTAACTCTCCTTAATTTTATGGAGACATCTAAAAATGAATGGATTTTTTGTGTCTTCTTCATACGCAGTTACTAAGTCGGACCATCTAGCTTCAAGCAACTTCTTAGAATCAGACCCATCAATTGCAAGGGCAGGAACTAACACTATTTTTTAAACAAATTTCTAGTACATTTCAGCAAGTGTGGAACATTAAAAATGGTGAATATGTGTCTTCCCATAAATGTAAAATATGGATTTAAATTATTAGCTCCCATATTCTTTAAACATTTCATCCCATATCACATACTGTTGCTATAAGTGGAATTCTTCATCTAACATAGCACGAAGAACATCTTTCAACAGTGACTCTAACTGAAAAGAAGTTACCCTGCCATTACTGAAGTAATATGCCACCTGTTGCTTCCAGTTACTTGAAATTCCTTGCACAAAAAATACTAAGGCATAATTTTCCACTTTGTAAGTTTTGTAGTTTCCATAATCCTCTACCGCCTCTATACAATCCATTAAAGAGTTGTATTGAAATGTTCCTTAATTGCCATCTCATCAAAAACGAAAGAACATACTCAATCCGTTTCAGGATATTTTTAAGACATTCCCAAGATGTTAAAATATATGATTGTTAATTGTTTATTAATACCAACGCCAAATGGAACTCATAATAAGGATGTCAATGTAATATGTTCTCTTTCCCATTTTTTGCTATATTTCTGGTTATAGCTAGTTGACATTTATCGGCTTTCCGCATTTTATAACGTTATTAACAAAATTAAATTGTACTTACTGAAAGAGAAATTACTCAGTTGTAAACAGAAGATACATCGGAAAATTTCTAAAAAATCAGTTGTTTATTTTCATTGAAATTACACTATTAAGTTACGCAATCGAATCATAGATTACGACACGCTTCTTTGTGTGAGACGCTACGTGTTTGTTGAGTTAGTTGGGGACCGTTGGAAACAGAGACTTCCATAGAAGCTTCGATTTGACATGAGTTAGACGAAAAAATTTCTGAATTAAAAAATTATTCATTTTCTCCCTAGAAAATACCCTAAAAATATTTTCCCCCCAAAAAATCCCCCTTTTCAAATTATTTCCCCTAAATTTGGGGGAAACCTCCAAGTTGGCATCACTGAATATATGTATCAGGGATGTCTAAATTTAATTTATTTAATTTAGCGATCTTTTCAAAACAATAAGCTCCAAACTTTACATGTTGTGGAAAACTTTCTGTTAACAAAGTTTTAATTTCACTCCAGGTAAATCAAGGCGGGCGTAAAGAATCTTAGTTACGCACGTTACTCGTAATCTACTAGTAGTTAATTTAATTATTGTTAATTCGTCCCATTTATGGTACCTAGCCAAATCGTCAACTTTGCCCATTCAGATGAATTTAGAGAATTTCGCCTTGGATCGAGAATAGGAATAATAGTTTCAGTAACGGTCATAATTAAGGTTGACGCGTTAGATGTGCATGCACTAGTCTTTGTCAAGTTACTTATCTGTCTTTCAAGCTGCCGAACTCTTCGAAATTGCTGTTCAATTATCTCGTCTTTGCAAAATGAACTTGAAGAAGTAGATCGTCGTCTCAATCGCTTCCTCTTAGCAGATTACTATCCTTTGAATCTCGGTTTTCTGACCTTTTCTTTTAATGACGCCTCATGGCACTGACACTTATAGCTCAACATTTTCACAAAAATGCAGTTTTTATGGGGGTTTAGCATCTCGCTTCTGACTATGGGTGAAATAGAACTTAGTGGTAAAATGACTATCACTTCGAAAAGAAACATATTCTGTACTGCTTTAAGTCTACCAGTATAATGTCTAACACTCATCTCGTCAACTTGCTTTACAGTTTACATTATGATCACGTGAACACAATCGAAGGCCTTTGTTAAATCTCAGAGGGCAATGGCTGTATGCTCACCTTTCTCAAGACCTTCTATTGCGTTACTTACAACTCTAAGGATTCGTGCATAGTAGAAAGTAATACTACAGATTTTGACTTTTTCGGAATGCGAGACACCATACACACTTCTTTTTCTTCATGGCATCGCATTGCACGATCTTTGTGGGGTAAAAACTAAGGAGGTATTCTGATTTATTTTATTGCATAGTACCGATTGTTATAATTTTTTTGTTTCAAAAGTGAACATGCCAAAGGATAGTCAGATTTCTATTGGTACCCTTTATATGCTCAATATATAGAAGGAAATTAGATTTACAATAGAGCCTCTCAGGTTGTTGGCCACAGTAAACTTTAAGAGCACTGGTGTAATAAGTTTTCGCATCACCAAGACCAAAAATTTTTAAACCGTTTCTTTCGGAATATACTGGATAAAGCTGCATCTTCCTCTAAAAGGTTCTAGTTTTTCTTCTATGGTAACAAACTGACTGTGATTGTAGTATTTCTTACTAACAGTTATCTTCAAAGTTGTTTAAAACTACTCTAATTATGGCCAGTTTATCCAATTTTTTACGTTGTTGTTTCTTTATCATCAGATCTTATAGATCTTAACAAAAACTGAAACCGCTTATAGTTCCTGCAAGCCCTCAAAATAGGCAAACCAGTTCCATCATTTGTCCATAGTTCTTTGGCATTAGTTCGACTTTTTTACTGCCAATTAGAAACAATAATCCTAACAAAGCTATAATTTCTGACTACATAGTTGTAACTTTATTGTCACTTACTGTACTATAATTAAACTCATTTTTCGTTTTTTCAATATACGGATTTGTATAATGTATAATATCATTTATAATACTACCATCAATTAATAAACTTCAATATCTATTAGAGATTGCATATATTCATCAGATTTTTTTTTGCAGGCTCTGGATTTGGAAATGACAGAAGGATCAGTTATATCTCAGGCTACCCGAAAACTTCCCTAAAATGGATCACTGAGAGCCCATGCTAAGCCCCAAAGTAGAATGACATGTTCAAAACGCTTAGAACAGCGTTAACTAATGAGTTGCTTGGAATCTTGAAAGGAAAAGAAAATTTGGTAAGAAAAATTGATAAAAAAAAGTGATTACACCAAAAATAAGTTGACTTTATTAAAAGAGAAAAATATCAAAGAACAATAATTGTCAATGAGGATTTTAAGTTATACCTTTTATCGTCTTACGGGAAAGTTACTAGGTTTGTAATTTTTATAACTGTTAGCAAAAGTTATGACAAAGTCAGTTAGTCAAAAGTTGTTTTTATTATTTACTGTTACTAATTAAAATTTTATATAAGATTTTTAATAAATTTTGTACTGAACAACAAAAAATAAAGTTAAGTATATATTTTTTACTTCTCTAAGTGTCATTTTAGATTCATTTCTTGTTTAGGTATGACATACGCATTTACAAAAATAATTTCTTTGCATCCTCAAAATAACCGATGCCACATTTCTTTGCATCCTCAAAATATTCGATGCCACTATTTTTTGTAGCGCCCATCAATATCAGCAGTGGCGTCGCTGATTAACCGTAAATCGGTTGCAAACTTCCACAATTTGAGCCCAGTTGAGTGTCAAATTGTACCATCTTTACTTTCTTCCATCTTCTATGAACAGTTTCAGTGCCGTGAGAATTAGAAGCCAAAGTGATTATTTTATTACCTTTCTATTTATAGAATGTAGTATTTGAAGTTCTGTGGCCATTATATTCGAAATACTCAGTGGCTTCAAAATTTTGTTAATAGAAAATCATTTATTTAAGCCATTGACCCGAATTTCTTCAGTCTGCAAGAAACTTGTATCTCAAAAACTAAGCTTAGGACAAAGGTTCATACAAACTTTTTTTTTAAATCACATCCTCAAATATTTTTATATACTTGTATTCCGTTGGCAGCAACATGGTATTCCGTATTCTTCCTCAAGAAGTTCATTGCGTTCTCGTTTGGGTATATGATATTCTATACCTACATTTTCACTATTTACCTAACCAGGCATCAGCGGTATAAGTACCAGACAAAGTATGTATGTAAGTCGTTTCGGCAGATACGTCTTATAAGGCACCGTAGACTAATATGTGCTGCGGTTCTCTGACGAACGACAGGTTCACCTGGTGATCTCTAAAAGCAGCTCGACCAGCATTGCCACAAATCATCTTGAAATAATTGAGAGAGAAGTAGGTTCTGAAAATGTACCTTAAAATGTAGTATCAACCTCAAATATATATTTTTCTCCAATTGGCAGCAGTGTTGCCATACGTACAGTAATTACCCTATTTGTACGATATTTTTTTACAAGAATGACAAGAGGTTTTGAGACCATACTAAAGCATTCCAATTTATTACAAATTATTTATATCCTTTAGTAAAAACTAAAACAGTATTCTAAAATAAAATGAGTGGTAATTCTTAAGCAAAATAATGAATTATTTTCAAATGCTTATTAAATAAAAGCTTATTATTAACTAATAAGTTGTTCAACCAAACCACCTGCTTGAGCTTCACAATCCCCTAATCTGTCGTAAAATTCTTGACGAACATTTGACAAAATATCAGGAGTAACTGATCCTAAAATATTTCTAAGCTGTCATTTGTCCAAATTTGAGGCTCTTTTGTGTCGATGTTTGTAAAGAAGTTGCGTTAAATGACCCCATAGAAAGAAGTCGCAGAGTGTCAGATCTGGAGATCGAGGAGGCCAAGGAATCATACCTCTTGTGGAAATAAGCCTTTCATTATTTTCATCTATGGTTTCCCTAATGGATTCACAAAACTCCATACGCCTTATTTGATCACCAGGGATAATATCTTGAGAAGTTTGCATTTTATAGGCTTTGTAACCATTCTTTTTTAAGATGCGACGAACTGTACTACTTGGAATGTCAAGTTCTTCGGAAATTTGGGAGGAAGAACACGGCTCACTTACTTCCGCAAAATCACAGACATTAACCTCTTTTTCTCCTTGCTTCAAGAATTTGACGACATTCCTGATTGCTACATTTCCTACACCAATTAACAAATCCACACTCCTCAAACTTATGAAAATATTCAAAGCGGTTCTAGCAGTGGGGACTGGTTCGTCGGGGTATGAAAATATAAATCGACCAACGATTTCCTCTGCACTTTCTGCACGACAATGCCATTTAATAATATTAATTTTTTGTTCAACACTGTACACCAAAGGTTTGAGTGGAATAATAATAAAAATAAAACAAAACGAATAGCAAAGCGCTTTAGGTATTCGGTCGGTTAAAAAATAATGCAACGGGGCACGTACTCTTCCATAGCCAACCAAATACGAGAGTCTGAGTCGGAGCCTCGGTGATATATGTCATGTCCGACCCGTTCCACCTGAAGTTGCGAGGGGAGATGCGTGTAATTTGCTTGGTCTATGCGAAAGAATCACCTGGCCAGACCGTTATAAATGATAAATCCAAAACGCTTCATTTCATAGAAATCCGTCTGAAACCATCATGTATTCTCATTTGCAACAGCTTGTGTGGCATATAGATTAGTTTGATCGACGATGAATGTAAATATGTTATCATCAATCAGAATAAAAGCCAAGAGGTTCCTCAATAATTAGAAGCTGTGACAGATTTTTATTGACTCCTGATTCTTTCGTGATGAGAATAAGAACTAGCTGCATACCTTGGGGTGTTTTCCATTCAGGGCCGTCAATATTTCTGCATGCAATTGGAGTTTCATCATCTTCAGAATCAGACGATATTTCTGCTTCTTGGTTGTTACTTGGGACTTCATTCATTTCACTATCACTGAAATGAATTATTGGTTCTTCATTGTCCTTAGAAGCGTCTTCTTCGACGCTGATACGGTCATCTAGTTCCTACAATTTATCACAGTATTTTGTTTCTGTAAAGTAATATCACATACCTTCCAAGTCCGAATTATTCAAGATATCAAAGAGTTCCTCATCCGTAAGTGGTTGCTTTGGGTCCGACTTTCGATATATTTTTGCACACACAACATGTAAACAAAACCAACGAGTGAACTAAACTGTAAGATGTTTCTTGCGACCGAGGATTTGACATTTACTGACTTTCACACAGCGCCGTGCGAGCTTGGTCAATATGACACATTTCCGCAATTTTATTCTCAGAAGCGATAAATATCTTGAATATTTCTGTTTTATCAACGTCAGTGCCTTGCTCAGGAACGCCGAAAATTACGTTTCTCTTTTTTTGTTCATCCATCTCTGTTCGAACCTTATTATCATGCAAATCGCCGGAAGCATTTTTGGCAGAGGATTTGAATTCACAGAGTTCGTTTTGCAGACCTAATGTCACTGCCTTCAGATCATTAATATCATTGACCAGTGAACAACAATTAACACGAGAGTCCAGGAGAGTCATTTGGTCCTCGAACTTGTAGCTTTGGCCTCATTTTGGGTTAAACCAACACAAGAAAATAGATAAGGGTTCCTACAGACGCTGCAGATAACTCCCATGTATTTATCAATTGACTTCTTACAACAGGTACAGTTACAGATAACGGAGTTTACGGACTAAAATGTTTTTATTCCGTGCAGATAGGTGGTCCTACCGCTAAAAACGTTGATAAAATTCCAGTAGTTGTTAACGAACACATAAGACACTTTGTACGGAACAGTACTGTTTTTCACTTAAAATTACTATTACCTTTATCAAAACAAATATAGCAAGTAAAAATCGATATGGTCTAGTGCGACCCAACTGCTCAATATGAAATGGCAGAAAGAAGTGGAATTTGTGAATAAAAGTATGATCGTGGCTAATTGTACCTCCGTCCAAGGTTTCTAAATTTAATATTGTTGGGAGTTCCTCTGGGTTATATCGGCTAGGATTGCTCGAAGAAAGAAGAGGAATCTGAACCATCATCATGTAACAAATGTTTTGAAATTAGTTTCCTTTGTTTTGGATATTATTCTTATGTGTTGTTCCAGTAGTCATTAACAAGGTTTTATCATCACCGTGATAGCCTTAGATTTCTAACATTTTTGGAAATTTTTTTGGGTGCTTTAATGAATAGAAGACGGACTATGACTGATAGCCTTTAATGTAAACTTCTTGATCAGAAAGTATGGGTCATGCAGATGTTTCGTTTTTGCCTGTGTTTTCTTTTGAAGCTTGAATATAGTTTTTGGTAGTTTTGTGAATGTTGGACATATTTCTTTGTGGTTTTAAATGTAATGAGAAGTTATTCGTTGGGCTGATAAATTGAAGGGAAATTATGTTTATGGTAGGTTTCAATAAAACAATTACTTCTTGCAGAACACTTCACTTTTATTTCACTTGTTACAGTTAGTCTTGTTTACTTGAAGACTGATTCGGAACTCGCTTTAGAATCGGTCTGAACGGAATTTATGCAAAACTGTTATCTAATATTTTTTGATATGAGGTTTTATATTATTCATAATATTCTTGTTATACATTAAAGTAAGGTAAGCAGGAAAAATAATAATTAACCAAGATAAAGTGTTTTTCTGTGATTAACGGTGTTTTTCCCTAACTTATTTTTGTGCTCCAAGAAATATGCTTGGGCAAATTTGGAGAACGGATCAAGGATCGTAAGAAAATTAAGTTTATCAATGAAAGTGTCGATGTGTCCGTGTTCAAAAGGTTTAGAAGGGGTGGTTGTGAGTTGTAATTTTGTTTTTTGCGTCTGTCATATTTTGCTGTTAAACATGTCTGACAAGTGTTGATAAAATTTGTAACGTCTTTTTGAATATTGGGCCAATAGTAAGTTTTTTTTAATGGATTTAATGGTTTCTTCGATTCCGCGACGGCAGGTTATTCCTTGGTGGTGATATTTAATTATATTTTATTGTTGGGCTGGACATCCGGAGTCACATATTTCTTCAAAACAGAAAACTCGGTGCTGCGTTCATTTTTGATGATTTGTCTGGTAATTTTAACTTCTGCTTCTAAAAGTGGTATATCAATTTTAAGGAGTTGTGCATAATGATGAATGAAAGTATTGCCACCTTCAAAAGATAGATTTAAAAAGCTATCAATAGTTTTTGCAAAGTCTAGGTCACCAAATCTTTCTTATAAATTGATGTGTCACAGTATCCATGCCCGTAAAAATAGAGTTATCCTCCAATGCTCTTCTATATTTACCCCAATATTGTTTCCTGCAGAACTTTCTACTAAATAGTCTGATAACACATCTGCAGTTTTTCTTTTTCTAACGGGGTCAAATCGCACGATCTCGTTGGCCAGTTCACATCACCTCCACGTGAGATGACCATGCCCTCAAATCGC